GGTTCTGCCAGGCATCTGTGGCTGTTCCCATCCTTCCTCCGCTTGGTCTTACCCAAGATGGCAGCTCCTGGAGCAGCTGAGCATCCTGAACTAGGAAGCAATGGATTTCTTGCTTCTGCCATAAGTTCTCCCAGCTGTAAGCCTTCCAAGCTTACAAATATTCCTTTATATGTGGTTCAGAGTTCTGAGACCATCCCTTGAGCCTGCTTGGTCGGGTATTCAGTGTTGTTGCTCTCAGAGCTCCTTACTGCAGTTCCACCCGATCCGCCATCTTGTTTGTTCTCCCCATTCTCTTTTAATTCCATTTTTCCATGAACTTTTTGAAGCCTCCTCCTAATTATTTAGGAGCTCTGATAGCATAGTGTCAGGCTGCTAATCTCACAGTCAGCGTTGAAACTTCCAGCAGTTCCTTGTGAGAAAGATGAGGCTTTCTGCTCTCATTAAGATTTACAGCCTCGGAAACCCTATACAGAGTCACTATGAGTCAGATCCGACTCCATGGCACATCACCACCACTGCTGCCACCACCTATTTCCTGAAACTTTTCTCTATGGTATAATATACTTAATGAAAATGAACTTGTCAGTTCCTGAAAATTGTAGGTCTTGTAAATATATACAGTGTACCGACAGTCCCTTTAATGTGGTTGGGGTGGCAGGTTCTCTGTTGAGATCTCCTGCCCTCTACTCTACTTCCTACAGAGCAGATGCTTGTGTGAGAACTGGAAGACACTAAGATCTTTCCACAAAGTAACTTGTAGCTTGACTGTCTGTCAATTAAAAAAAAAAAAAAAAAAAATTATGTATTTTGTTTTTGCAAAACAGGTACCAATTCAACAGTTTTTTCATGTGTAACTCAGTGACGGTGATTATATTCTTCTAGTTGTGTGACCAATTTTAACGTCCTTTTTTGAATTTGTAATCTTTTGAATTGCTTCTGTCAGTTAGATTCTTCTACATAGATTAGTTCTTAAAAGAGCATAATGTTTGAAACAGACATTTTTCCTCTCAAAAATTTTTTAATCCTTATTTTTTAATATAATCCTAAAGTAGTAGAAATAAAAATAGGAAAAAATGAACTTTGCATTAATGAGTTTTATGCAGAAGTACTGTAGACTCTTGTGGGGACAGTAGTGTTCTGTATCTTGACTGTATCACTGTCAGTATCCTGGTTGCTATTGTACTATGGCATTTCAAGGTATTACCTTTTTGGGAAACCTGGTAACGGGCACACAGGATCACTGTATTATAGTTTTTTATAGCTGCATCTCAATCTGCACTCATCTTCAAACAAAAAGTTTACTTAAAAACGTAAGAAAATTGAAATAAAGAAGCCAGTCTAATTGTTACTTATTCCTTTTTGTTTTACAGGTGTGTATGATATAGTAAATAACCTTGGTTCCCTTGTGGCCAGATTGATATTCCAGCCCATAGAGGAGAGCTTTTACATATTCTTTGCTAAGGTGCTGGAGAGAGAAAAGGGCGCCACACTTCAGAAGCAGGTAGTCTTGGTTCTTAAGCTGTTGTCTCTCAATTGTACTCTCCCTCTAATTGAAAGACAAACAGAAACATGGAAGCATCTGTTTCCTTCTGTTTGAGATGAAATGTTCTTCAAGATTTCAGTCTGCTGTCACAGTCTGAATGGTGGCAGAACCCTGACAGGACTTCTTCCACTACTGTTTTTTTCCCTGACTGGTCCTTCTTTCTCACCCCTTTGTCCTTCTTTGTGACCTTATTCTTGGCCCAGCCCGCAAAACTCCTCCTTTGGGCAACTTGCCTCTCTAATTGTCCCCTGTGCTGTGCAAACACTTTTCCATGGTCTCCTTTTAGTGTAAGAATAAAGTTATCTTCCTGCATTCTCAGATTCTCAAGACCCTTCAGGGTGAGCCTAGGATGCAGAGAGGCTGGAGAAAGGCTAAACTAGGGCCTTGCTCCCTGGGAGGATAGGACGTGTTCATGTGATTTCACTCAACACACCGTTTATTTAAGCATCTCTTGGGCTGTGAGAATCTACATATTCTGACTCTACACACCGTCACTACCATCAAGTTGATAAGTTGATTCCAACTCATAGCAGCCCTGTAGAGGGCTTCTAAGGCTGCAAATCCTCACAGGAGCAGAAAGCCTCCTTTTTCTCCCATGGAGCAGCTAGTGGGTTTGAAGTGCCAATCTTATGATTAGCAGTCCAATGTTTATCCTACAGTGCCATAGAGAGGAAGAGGTTTTGAGCCAAGAGTATTTGATTGTAGAAACTTCACTTTTTCTAAAGCACTTGTCTCTGACATCTTAGAATTAAAAGCAAGCAAGGTTGATCTCTTTCACAGCTTAGAAGAAATTTGCAAAAAATAAAAAATAGCTTATGCATAATATTTTAGGATGAGCTGATCTGACTCAGTCTGATTTAGAAGTTACTTCCCTAAGTGTGCTTTGATAGTAACATCTGAATGTTGAGACATTCTTCAGGAGAAGCTCTCTGACAGAGCTAGCTAGCATTTATTATAACCTGCTGCCTAGTTAAAATTAGGGAAAGGTGTTTCCTAAACAACATTTAAAATAATTTGGTTTAAGTATTGGTCATTGGTTCAACTCCACCAGCTGGTCCTTGGGAGAAAGATGAGGCTGTCTGCCCTCTAAGGATGTTCGGTCTCAGAAACCCTGGGGGCAGTGCTCCTCTGTCCTGGAGAGTTACTGTGCACCAGAACCAACTCAACAGCAGTGGGGGTTTTGCTGTTGATTTTTAATGAATTAAAAATCAAGCACCCCCCTCCCTACCCAAGGAGGCCCACACTGCCTTTTGTCTTCATTTGATAGTAGATGTAGGAAGAAACAGGCTACAGGAAAGCAGTGGTGTCCCTCACTCATTTGAAAGAATGACCTGCAAAATGGCAAAGGGGGCAGGGAGTTTTCTTTCAGCTCATGATTCATCCAACTTCCTTCCCTTTTCCCCTGGGCCCAGGAGGATGTTGCTGTGGCCGCCGTGGTTTTGGAGTCCCTGCTCAAGCTGGCCCTGCTGACTGGCCTGACCATCGCTGTGTTTGGCTTTGCCTATTCTCAGCTGGCTTTGGACATCTATGGAGGTGCCATGCTTAGCTCAGGATCAGGTATGCTCATAGAAGTTGAGTTGTGTGTCAGCGGAGGGAAAGTGGCCTGGGGCTGGGGCTGTGGAACTGCTCCCCTTACACAAGGTCAGACACGTGGTCAGGGTGTGGGCAGGGGCTTTTGCACCAGGCAATGCACTTCCCCAGCCTCGCCTGGAGAAGTTGCAATGACTCCAACCACTGTTGGCTTTTTTCTCAGGCCTAGAATGTATTTTGCCAACCATTTCCCTGCCCTCCCTCTGGGGTGAGAGAGGAAGGCAGAGAGCAAACTCTAATGAGCCTCCGCCTGGTACTAAACACATCTGAAGACAGTAAATGCCACATAAATCTCACAGCCTGATGTGTAAAAGTCTCTCAAGAATTACTCAGAGCGATTTGCAGAGAATAAAATTGATCTTGGCAAATAAAATGGTATGGCTAATCCAGTGACTCTTGGTTTTGAAGGAAAAGAGTACTGACTGTGTCCAACTTTGAAACTCCTGATGCCCAGACAACTGAGCATCTTACAGGACTTACTTTACCACTTGGCTCAGAATTGAGGCCTCTATTGTCCTTGGGGATAATGTTACTAATTTGAAATGGCACTGAGTCATAGGATGCCAGCTCATTTGTAGCGTTTCCATCATCTTTGTAGTTCTTCAGGTCACTATAACAAGCTCCCTGAAGACTTCATTCTGCTGCTCCATGTCAGTGTGAAGGGTTCTGTCAAGTGCATCAGCACATCCTGTCTCCACTATAATGGGACACAAACTTTTGGTATTAGTGCAAGAAGGGCCAAATTTCTGCACTTGAGTAAAGATCATTAAGTTTAGATAAACACCTGCTTTGATGCCAGCATGCAGCTCCCTGGGGATTACTGTAGGAGCCCTGGGGGCACAGTGGTAAAAGCATTCTGCTGCTAACCAAAGGTCAGTGGTGCAAACTCACCAACCTTTCTGTGGGAGAAAGATTTGGCAGTTTTCTTCCTTAAACATTTGTTGTTGATAAGTGCCTTGGAGTCAGTTTCAACTCATAGCAGCCTTGTATAGGGTTTCCAGGGAGCGGTTTGAACCACTGACCTTGTAATTATCAGTCTAGTGCTTATCCTACAGTGCCACATCACAAGCCCTCCATAAAGAATGGTGGTGGTTCATTATGTGCCATGGAGTTGGAAAATTCCAACTCATAGCAACCCTATATAGGGTTTCTGAGGCTGTAAATCTTTACAGGAGCAGAAAACTTCATTTTTCTCCTTTGCTGCTCGTAGTTTTGAACTGCTGATCTTAAGGTTAGCAGCCCAACTCATAATCACTACGCTACCAAAACTCCTTGCCATAAAGATTGTTGTTGTTAAGTGTCATCGAGTCAGTTCCGACCCATAGAGACCCGTTTCTGAGGAGCGACTGGTAAGCTTGAACCACCGACATTGCAGTTCAGACGGCTTTGCAGTCTGGCGCATTAATCCACAGCGCCACACTAGGATTCCTTAAGGATTAGTATTTGGTAATTAAGTGCCATCAAGTCAGCTCCCACTCATAGTGACCCTGAGTAGGGTTTCCGAGGAGCAGCTGGTAGGTTTGAACCACTGACCTTGCAGTTAACAGTCCAGTGCTTTTTCCACAGCAGGACCCCTTCATGAAGATTTGTTGTGGTTGTTGTTAAGTGCCATCGAGTTGGTTCTGACTCATAGTGACCCTGTATAGAGTTTCCAAGGAGCACCTGGTAGGTTTGAACCATCGCCTTGTATTTATAACTGACCTTGTAGTCTAGTGCTACAGCGCCACACCAGAACTCCATCCTTAATGATTGATGGTGGGTGACAGTTATGTGCCATGCAGTTGGTTTCAACTCATAGTGACCCTGTATAGGGTTTCCAAGGCTGTAAATCTTTATGGGATCAGAAAGCCTCATCTTTTTCCCATGAAACTGCTGGTAGTTTCAAACTGCTGACTTTGAGGTTAGCAGCCCGACTCGTAACCACTATGCTTCCAGAGCTCCATGAAAATTGTTGTTGTTATGTGCTGTGGAGTCAGTTCCAACTCATAGTGACCCTGTACGGGATTTCCGAGGCTGTGAATCTTTACGGGAGCAGAAAGCCTCATCTTTCTCCCTTGGAACAGCTGGTAGTTTTGAACTGCTGACCATGAGATTAGCAGCCTGATTTGTAACCGCTGTGCTACCACAGCTCCTTCATAAAGATGACAGACATCCTTGGAAATCCTATAGGGGCAGTTCTGCTCTGTCTTATAGGCTCTATGAGTCAGAATCGACTCAGCAGCAATGGGTGCGCGTTTGGGGCTTGCTGTGAGAAGTACATTTGGATCAGGCAACTGCAAGGAGGCCTCATCAGGATTCATAAAGTTATGTTTACATTCAGAAATGGGACTCAACTATTTCATGGTAGCTTTGCCCCTCTAGAAAGGCAGTCATCAAGGAACAACCTAATCACATTATGTGGGGAGAGGGCTATCCCGTCATTATAATGTTCACCTGGTACAGTAGTTAATCATAGACAAGACATAGACAAAGTGACTGTGTAGTCCTATGTACATGAGCTGCTCCTACAGTTTTGAGTATGGATTAAAAGAGCCAATGTTAGTTGAGTTCTGGAGTAGTATTTTCTGTCTCTAGTGGTTTAATGCCAGAGTCATTACTAATTTTAGGCTCAGAATGTGCTCTCTCTCCCATCTCATCTTTAGAGAAAGAGAATGATTCTCCTTTCTCCGTGTCTTAACAATTGTGTGCTTGGTGTGTCACTTGGGGTCTACATGACCATTAGTATCTCTAATTTCACTCACAGTCCTGTCAGTGCCACTGCCTGCCTCAGCAGGGCTCTTTGACATATTTGTCTTTTCATTAAGGCTGCTTCTCATTTTGACCAGACTTCCAGCTCTCTCTAAGATCCATGGGCCTTTCCCTCTGCTGGTGCCCACACTACCCCTCATCTTCTTGCCCCACTCTTGAGTCTTGTTCTAGTGCTATATATCTGTGTGCCTTTCCTGTGTCAGAAAGTATTAACATTGCCCCCTCCTACCCCTCAATCTTTTTGGATCACTTAAATACTCCGTAAAACTTGGCTTTCCCCAGAAAGTCTTCTTGGCTTAATCAGCAAAGAATGACAGCTTTCTGTGGCTCAGCCCCACCATGTTAGTTTTGAAAGTGGAATTTTCAACACTGCTGTACTCTTTTTCTCCCCAGGGCATGTTTGTCTTTGTCCTCTTGAAGTAGGCCTTCCTTTTACCTGAGTGCTCCTCTTAGAATCTAAGATTCTACACATGCCCAAGCATAGTGTAGACAGCTTTTGGGTAGAGTATGGTTTGACTTTGCTTTTTTGAGGTTAGGATTATATATAATCAGGGACTTTGTAAATGAGAGATCTTCACACCTACTTTTACAATTTTGCTGTTGTTGTTGCTGTGTGCCATCGAGTCAGTTCTGACCCATAGCGACCCTGTATAGGGTTTCCAAGGAGCAGCTGGTGAACTTGAACCACCAACCTTGCAGTTCAAATGGCTTTGCAGTCTGGCACATTAACCCACAGCACCACACCAGGACTCCTTTACAACTTTAGGGAAACAGAAACATCCACTGAACTTCCCTGAGATTTTTCACATTTATCTTTAAGGTGCTTTTTTTATGCCCTTTATTTTTCAAAATCTTTTATTCTTCTCTGCCCCTTCACTTCAGTCCATGGTTTAAGGATCCATCCATAAATCCCAGAATTTCAACTTTCCCCCCCAAACTGACTTTAAACCATTCTATCTAAACAAGTGTTTCACTCAAGAGTTTCTTCTCCAGGCTTAAAGCAACTCACTATCCACCTTCATATGGACCTACACATGCCATCAGCAGGTGAGACTACAAGTAGATACAAGGTACCTCCTTTTCTGCATCTGCCAGTGAGGGAGGATGAAGAGAAATGGGAAGCACAGATTACAGCCCTGTGTTGTTGTCGAGGGACAGAGCCTGGTCCCGCCTCCTTCACTGGAGCCTTCCCTCAGTGAAGGTGGGGGCCCGGCTGCTTTCTGCAGGAGCCCAAGAAACAAATGCAACACGCTAAAATGTAGAATCTAGGAGAAGGCCATGGAAAAGACTTCATCAGGCCTGTGACTGCCCTTAAGCTCTTTGGGGTCTCCACAGCACTGGCGTCTTTCTGTTTTTTTCAAAAAATTTTATTGTGAATTGAGTGATAGCTTACGTGGGAGAACATCGGTTTTACACTCATCATTTCATTGCAATGATTACAGTCTCCATGCATCATCATTCAACAGTATTTTTGCTTCTATTCCCTCTGTTGTTTTTTTGTTGTGGGGGTGGGGGGGAGAAGTACACAAAACCACTCAGGAGTGTATAATCATTTGTATAACTAAAGGGCACATTCTGTAAGCCTACAGGCATCTTTCTTATTAAACAGCTTTTATAAATTATAAATGAGTTCTAAATTGAGAGTCTGGAACTTCAATTCCCCTTTTTATAGTGGTTAATTTTTTTTGTTTTGTTTTTATGATTGTTGGGTGACATCTAGTGTATTCCGACTCCATGCACTATACATTGCCCAGTTTTTCTTCATTGAGATCTAATTTACATCGAGTACAATTCTCTTAAGTCCAGTTTGATGAGTTTGGGCAAATATATACACCTGTGTCTCAGTCCTACTCCCTGAATGGCAAATTAGAGGCAACCACAATTCTAATATTCATCACCATATATTTTCAGTTTTGTTCTAAAAAAACTCCTATAAATGAAATAATACTGCACATAATACACAGTTTTGTTCGGCTGCTTTCCCTCAAGATCTTTGAGATTCATCCATGTCTGTTTTCCCCCATTATTGCTGAGAAACAAAAGGGCAATTTTGTGTAGATGGACCATTGCATGTTTATCTTTTTTTCCATTGATGTGCAGTTTTGGCTATTATGAATGTAAATACTTTGATTGATTTTGTACAAGTGTTTTTGTGAACATGTATGTTCATTTCTGCTGGATATATACCTAAGGAGTGGAATTTCTGCATTGTAGGTTGGATGCATGTGTATTTTATTAGAGAGATTACCTCTTGACGATTGATCTCCCTTAAGAAAGGGGGATCAGTGCCATTATGAAGGCTCCTATTCTTTTGTAGACTTTTCCAAAGCTTGTTCATTAGCTGTAGAATTCCATGACTGTGTTTTAAGGGAAGAAAATAACATTACAGGCTCCAGTTCTTGCTACAAATTTGTGGCTGTTGTGTCTTGCTATTTCCTGCTGTTCCTGGGGCCTGGACTTTCCCCCAAGGCCTTTTTTTCAGGACTTGTTCAGCTGAGGTTCTCTTAATTGCAACCATTTAAAGACTTTAAATGTTCAAACTAGCAGGCTTTTTCATGCTGGTTAAAAGGTGAGATTTACTTATTGGCCAGATAAGCTTTTAGTTGTTAAGCTAGAGAGCTCTATTCACAATTGCCCTTTTGTTTTTAGTCATTTAGTCAGTGCCCTGGAATGCTGGAGAACCTTCTAGATCTTTGAGACCACAGGCTTGAGTGTGTCTCCTGCCTGGTAATGCTGCCCACAGGACTGATGACCAGGTTCTCGTATTCTCTGAGCTCTCAGCAGAGCTGAGGGACACCTGGGCCTCCCGTTTGGGCTGTGGAGTCTTGGTGGGTTGTCTCCTTCTAGGTCCTGTTTTGCTGCGTTTCTATTGTCTCTACGTCCTCCTGCTTGCCATCAATGGAGTGACCGAATGTTTCACGTTTGCTGCCATGAGCAAAGAGGAGGTTGACAGGTGCGTAACCTAGAAAGGTACACCTTATACTTGGTCTTCAGGCAAAATGTACTGAATGTACTTTTAGAGGTAAACATTAGACCCCTCAGGATCACCACTGCACCGACACAACTCAGTTCATGCTCCTCACCATAGAGCTGGGAGGCAACAGTTATTCTCTGCTGACTTCCTGGAGGGAGAAGTATTGGCCTAGTCAGTAGACAAGCTAGACTCCCATTCCTCCAGCTCTTTGCCCTGTGTCCCCTCTCCTCAGAGAAAGACCCAAATGTACATATACATTTTGTCATATTGTGTTCCCACCCATTGACTAGGTCATGATCCTGGCTCTAGCATCTCAGCCAGGCTCAACCCAGGCTGTGGGCCAAAATCCCTCCTGGAGCTTGTTAGAAATGCAGACTCCTGGCTACCTTGCCTCCACCAGTCTCTCTCCCACTTCTGGGGGATCCGCAGGGACTGCCTGCACCGTATATGCTTGTATGCTTCAAAAGCTCCTCCATAATTTTGATGTGAGTTCCTGGCTAAGAGCCTCTGCCCCATACCTGGGATCATCTGCTTCTTGTGTCCCAAGGTATGAAAAGCAACTAAGCAGTAGGATGCAGTCAGAGAGAAGGATAGAACTGATAAGGGGAGAGGAGAAAAAGAGCAGAAAATAGAAAGGGTAGGTGCAGGTGATGAGCAAATGGCCTGTTACTCCGGTGCCCATTGAGGCCTGAGTCCCTTGAGCATTTTCATACTATCTCTGTAAAGCCTTCAGTGCTGTTGAGACCACTTAGAGGCCCCAGGGTGGGGTGGGACAGAAAAGGGCTAGCTCAAAAAGTTAGGGAGCTCTTAGTCTTCAGAGCAGCCTCTATCTGCTTCTCCTCTGGAACTGCTCACACAGAAGCTTGTTGACTATGTTTACTGTACAGTGGCTGAGAACTAAAGTCTAGATCCGCACCCCCAGCCAGACTGATCAGATTCTCCTAGGAAGCTTCTCCCAGACCAACTAAATTAGAATTTGGGGGGAGGTTGGACCAGGGAATTGGTTGTATTACACAACTCCTGGGTATTCTAATGGTAGATAGGACTTTGGACTGATGGCCCATTCCAGGATAAGATACGTTGAGCATTGAGAACCCATTACTCACTTAGGTATACATAAATGAAACAGCAAAAGGTTCACAAAGCAGTTATTACCCAGTTACATGTACAATGTGCTGACAATTTTTATTCTGTTCTGCCTCATTTTTCCAAAAAGGCTCACTAGATTGATTTCCTAACTTACAATTTTAAAATAATAGTCCAGATTTGTTTTTGTTTTTACTTTCAATAGTTAAATTTCTAACTGTAAAGCTTCTTTAAGTTCTATTATTTTTCTTTTTTCATGGATGAAAAGGTCGGCTTAACTCTAAAAAAAACCAAAAAACAAAAACAAAAGAAGACTTGTTCTTTGAAAGCCCTGTCTAGCGTTGAATAATTTTTAATACAAAGTAAAACTTGCTGAGTGAGACACTGTGGATTGTGGAAAGAGCCTAAGACTAGGAGTCTGACTCTTTAAAAATAACTTCAGCATTATCATTGAGGGAGAAAGTCAACAATAAACTCATTTGAAATGTTCAAAACGTTCTACCAAATCACAAGGAGTATGGACAGCTACTAGTTGCTGTCTTTCCTTTTCTGTTACACTGAACCAAAGGAAACACCCTGTTAAATGTGTTGTAATGGAATTCTGGTGTCATGTAAACGTGTAGAAAATTATTTTCAAGTTGTTAGTTAACACAGGGAAAAGACAGAGCATCTTCTAATGCACCTTTCATCTTAGGGTAATCACTTCCCCGAAGATTAAAACATGACTTTAAGCACAGTTTTCAGATATGTATTAAACATACCAGCCCTGGTTCTGTCTGGACTTCAAGCTCCAGGTTCTGCTCTGAGTACAAGGATCTCCTGAGCTCTTCACAGACCCTGATCCTTTTTCACCTGTATGAATTTAACCAGATAGAATAATGCTAGTAATGGGTTTTTATTGTAGAATTGGGTAGCTTAGTTAAATGTTATGGTTGATAAAGATGAGTTCACACTGGACATTATAGAGTCTGAATTAAAAATAAAATATTGATAAGCACATGGACTTTTACCAAACCAAATTCTGCTTAACCAATGTTTGTCTCTAAATAAAAATAGAATATTCAGTTAGATGTGAACTACTGGAACTTCCTTTGAATTGTAAGCTGTTCCTTTTTTTAAAAAATGACCTCATATTAAGATTAAGTATATTTAGAATATGATTGGTGGACTTTTGAATATGCACTACTGAAGAGTTTTTGTTCTGTTTTATTAAGGACATCCCATTTTCGTTTCACACAACAAATATTTTTGAGCGTCTGCACTCTTTAACAGGCATTGTTTTGAGCTCTGAGAAGACAGGAGTGAATAAGACAGATGGAGAAATCCCTGCTTTCCTGGAACTGATGTTCTACTGGGGGAAGCAGATAGTGAGCAAGTAAATAAATAAAAAATTGGAGTGATGTGCAGAGAACTGAAATAGGGTTTTTGTGGGGAGAGTTCTTGTGGTTGTTAAGTGCTGTGGAGTCAGTTCCGACTCATAGTGACTCTGTATAGGGTTTCCGGGGAGAAGCTGGTGAGCTTGAACCACCGACCTCAAAGCTCAAACTGATCTTGCAGTCCAGCGCATTAACCTGCAGTGCCACAGTAGGACTCCATGGGGAGAGTAGGAGTCTTTTTATATGAGGTAATTTGGGCAGGCTCCTCTGAGCAGATGGCATTTAAGCTGAGTCCTGCATGACCGAGAAGAGTCTGCCATGAAAAGATGGAGGCAGAGCCTACCTTTGAAAGGATGAAGATTAACAGCTTCTTTGTCCAATTTGCTGGTTGTTGTGTATGCAACATGGAGTTGGACTCCTTTAACTGTCTACTGATGGATGAGTGTAGTCTAATTATGCTGGCACCTGGGAGATCACTGCCCTCTTTGTGGAGGCTCCAGAGGCAACCCTGTACGGCTGGCTGTTCCTTGAAGTGTTTAATTAGCACACACTGCAAGATACTTGGGTCATTGCTGCAGAGAACATCTGTGACCATCCATCTTTTGATGAACCAAATTTTAAGTCCCATATCTTCTTGGGAGGCATGGAGAAATAAGCATTCTTAAATAAATAACTTTGGTTGATGTTAACCAAACCTTTTAGTCATTATTGTCACTGATTAATAATTTTTCATTGATTGAGAAAGTGGTATTTTCATTGCAGCTTTCAAATTTCCATATTTTTCTGAAAAGTGGATTAAGGCTATAGGTTATGAATTCTAGGAAGTTCAGCAGCTGCAGAGCCCTCTTGTGGTGGCAAACAACTGTTCTCATTATGATATGCTTCTTCTAAATGGCCACTTCAAAGAGACTGTACTGTTAAATTTGTCCCTGCTTGAATTAGCATGAATTAGCTGTTGGTTTTACTTGGTGTTGGGTGGGGATGACTTCAAAAGTTTGTGAATCTATGGTTTAAACTTCAAGGAGAGTGACATTTTCATGACACCCAGTATTTTAAAGCATATACAGCGCCCACATCAACAGTGTTCATATGTATATATGATGCATATGTGGTGCGTATAGTACACATAGGAAACTAACAGAGGGATTGTGCAGTTTGCAAAACTGTGTAACATACATAATTTGCACAAAAACATGGCAACTTTAGCTGTATTTAAAACCAACTAGATTATGGAATCTCTGAGGTTCTTTTCTGTGAATTCATGTTTAGTCACTTAAAGAATATTTTTTTGGTAGCAGTGCTATCTTGGGACCATGTACCCATTGCCCTAACTTGCGTCTCCCTCTCCCTAGGTACAACTTCACAATGCTGGCCCTGTCATCCTCATTCCTGGTGTTTGCCTATCTCCTGACCCGTTGGTGTGGCAGTGTGGGCTTCATCTTGGCCAACTGCTTTAATATGAGCATTCGGATCACACAAAGCCTTTCCTTCATCCACCGCTACTACCAAAAGAGCCCTCACAGGCCCCTGGCTGGCCTGTACCTGTCACCAGCCCTCCTCGGGGCATTTGCCCTTAGTGGTGGGATTACTGGTTTATCAGAGGTGAGACTCCCTACAGCCCTCACACCACATGCATTTGTAGTCTGTCCACTATCCCTGCAGTGGTGGGATTACTGGTATATCAGAGGTGAGACTCCCTGCAGCCCTCACACCACAAGCATTTGTAG